GAGCATAGGTAGGGGACATGTGCTCTTAAACATGCAAAACACGCCCCTAGACTCCACCTCATCATGTCCCTCCATGGCAGTGGGTCCCAACCACTGGTCTGTGGACCGGTGCTGGGCTGTGAACCATTGACTGACGGGCCATGGCACACTGCCAGGCCACGCCCATGCCTAGACGATTGGCTCAGTGGGAATGTCATCACTTGCATAGGTAGGGGACATGTGCTCTTAAACATGCAAAACACGCCCCTAGACTCCACCTCATCATGTCCCTCCATGGCAGTGGGTCCCAACCACTGGTCTGTGGACCGGTGCTGGGCTGTGAACCATTGACTGACGGGCCATGGCACACTGCCAGGCCACGCCCATGCCTAGACGATTGGCTCAGTGGGAATGTCATCACTTAGCCAATGATTGTGCTATTAGATCTTTACATTGGACAGTGTCTAGTCAGTTCCATCAAATACAATGGCTGAAAGATGAAAGTAAAATACTTTGGTGGAAGTAAAACACTTTGGGAAGTGATGTCTTATGTATGATTTTTAACAGTGGCGGAAATAAAATACTTTGGGTAGCTAGAGATGTGCTATGTATGATATTTTAAGGTGGAAAGCAAATACTCTGGGGGGAGGGGAGGAAAATAATAATAAAAAAATCCATTACAATGACATGTATTGTTAGCGAACAGATGCAATGTTAAATATCACATGACCTCTTAAAAGTGATTACCATAATGAATATGCAAATATGCAAATAAAATGTTTCTATACCAATCCACCAAAAATTTTTGACTCAGTTTGCCAGTCCATGATATAAAGAAGATTGGGAACCATTGCTCCATGGCACCTTTTCCAGGTGGCCAGTAGAGCAGCTGTTGTTGTTTAGGTGGGCTCTTTGCTTGAAATAGATGATGCTTCACCAACTCAGATCCACTTTTCTGCACATGCCAGATTTTGGTCCTTCATACCTAAAGGTCTAGAATATGCCACAAAAAATAATAGGCAAGCTTGTCGCAGCAAAATCCAATACATCACCCAGCACTGGAATGCTAATGAAGATGCATGATTGTGCAGCAAAACCCTATGCAGCAAGTCGGGGCTAGACAGCCTGCTTCACTTAGAGTGCAGCAATAATTTGATCCCAGTCTTCCACCAACATTAGCTCACTCTGCGGAAGCTTGCCATCGAGGGAAGACATTCATCCCAGAACAAGGTCCCAGAGTAGGGTGTAAATTGGATTCATGCAATGAATACATTTTGGGATGACTTTGCACGGGTGTTCATTTCACTCTTTAAACCACATTTATTATTTAGAAAATACTCAAATCTATCCTGGACCCTATGTACCTTTGTAAATACACACAAACATACAAACACACATGCAATCGCATTAAAAGGAAATCCAGTTGCTACTGCAGGTCCACAGACCAAATATAACCAGGAGGTG